AAAAACCCAAAACAAAACCCTCTAATACTTTCCTCCCACACCTCTGGGGTCCACAGTATGTGCGCATCCAACTTTGGAGCCACTGGCTTTATTATAAAGGAAGAAGTTTTCATCCCTAAAAAGTAGTTTCTGTAGACTGAGACCAGAGTAAGGGAAAGAAAGTTCAGCCCAGCATTAAGATTTGAATGAGAACCAGGTCATCACTTACCCAGTGAGGTGTTACCCAGAACGAGAGGGGCTTTGGGGTGTTTCGCTTTCAGCTCCAGGAGATCCTTGAGGGTCCCAGGGGAGATCCAGGTAACTCTCTCTCCATAGAAGTTCAGCGTTTGTTTTTCTGGATTCTCTGCCATCCTCTAAGGGTAAATGATAAGTATGTGTGCTCGTGTGCATGCCTGTCCTCCCGGCTTATGCAAGGTCCTAGGTGGAGATGTGTGCCTTTACAGAGATGTCGGGGGTGCTGGGGTGCACTTGCCCAAAAAGATACTCACTATACCCACTGGCTGATTTTTTGTAATTGGATGACTTTTTGGGGACAAGTGACGATATAAGCTGGCATGTTTTTGACCATTTAGTGTGGATTAATTTAGCATAATTTAGTCTTATGAATTTAAAAATAATAATTACACTAATGCTCCTAAATTAATATCTTCAGCCTGGTTTTCCTCTGAAATCCAAGCTCGTATCTGAGTAAGTACTTGGCATTGTTTCTTAGATGTGTAATAGGCATCTCAAATTTAACATGTCTCTTGGACTGGCTTAGAGCAATGAAGATAAAATGATTATTATGTGAAAAACTGAACTCCGCATATCTAGTGCCTTTCCAAGCCCGCAAAGAGAAACCCCCAAGAGGAAAAATCCCCTGTTTCTCCAGAGGTCTTTCCCATATCTGTAAATGGCCATTCCACGCTCCCAGCTGTCCAAAGCCCTGGAGTCAGCCTTGACGCCCCTCTCTCTCTTCCACACTCACAGCCTATCCACCAGCAAATCTTATTGGCTTTTCTTCCAAAATACATGCTGAATCTACTTGCTTCTCATCCCAGCAGACTGGTGCAGTCACCACCATTTTTTAGGATGGCATCAGCCCCCTGATGGGGTTCATGATCCTTCCCTTCTCCTCTGCAGGCCATTCTCAGTTCAGCAGCCAGAACAATCCTGTGACCACTTAAACTGGAGCACAGCCCTCCTCTGCCCAGCTGCCTGCTAGCTTCTCCCCTCACAGAGAGTAAAAGCCCAGCAGCCTGAAATCCAGCATGGTCTGCCCCCGGCAGCTCCTTGGCCTTCCCCTTGCTCACTCTGCCCAGCCAGGCTGGACCCTGCTCTGCCTCTGATCAGGCCTGGTGTTCTCCTGCTGTTGGGCCTTTGTACTTGCTGTTCCAACAGGCTGGATTGCTCATCTCCCTTTTCAGCTGGGAGGACTGGCTCCTTCACTTCCCTCCAGTCTCTTCAAATGTTATCCTCTCAGAAAAGGTTTCTTTGGGCAGGATATCTAACCTTGCAACTCCATGCATCCTATCCTTCTCTGCTTTATTTTTTTCTCCTTAATACTTCTCAATTGCTAACACACTATATCTTTTTAAAAATTATTTATTTTTTTTGGAGGACAGAGCCTCAGTTTGATGCCCAGGCTGGAGTACAGTGGTGCGATCTCGGCTCACTGCAGCCTTAACCTCTTAGGCTTAAGCAATCCTCCCACCTCAGCCTCCCAAGTAGCTGGGATGACAGGTGAGTGCCACCACAGATGGCTATTTTCTTCTATTTTTTGTAGAGACTGGGTTTCGCTATGTCTGGCTAGTTTCTAACTCTTGGGCCCAAGCCATCCACCTGCCTCAGCCTCCCAAAGTGCTGGGATTATAGGCATGAGCCACCGCACCTGGCCACACTATATATTTTATCTATTATTTTGCTTCTTGACTGCCTCTCTCACCAGGTTACAAGCTCCTTGAGGGCAGGTGTTTTGTTAGTTTTGTTCCCTGCTGTATATTTAGTACCTAGAAGAGTGTCTGGCAAGTTTCTGGATGGATAAATACTGGTTTAATGAATAAACAAAGACATTAGGACCCCTTCAGAAACAGGTGTTTGATAGAATAGGACTGCTGCATTTCTGCAAAGAAAGATGCTGATGGGAGGAGGGCTGAAAGGTAGGGGCCTCTCCTGGAAGTGTTCCTTGGGGTCAATGTGCTGGAGTGGGCCAGAAGACCAAGGAGTAGCTTAGCAGTGCTGTCTGTGTCTCCTGGACAGCCACTAGTGACACATTGCAGATGACAATGATGAGAGCGATGAGGCTGAGTGGAGGCTTCAGGGAATGTGCCAGGGATCAGGCAGGGTGCGGCATGGAGGGAAGCAGACATCCTCATCTGATCAAACATTTCCAAAATTTGACAATTTCACAGGAAGGAAAATGGAGGCTTTATAAAACTGAGTTTATAACCAATGATATTTAAATGAGTACATAAAATATCCAGCTAGTCTTACCAAGAGTTCTGGGGGAAATATGAGCTCCTGGGTTGGGTCCAAGGGCTGAAACTCCTCTTTTGCAAATAACTTTGTGCAAATCTTTATAAAAGGAAGAAACAGATGGTTCTGTCAGCCCAGCTCAACTGGAAACAGCATGGTAATTCTTTATAGGAGTGAGGCAACATGAACGTAGTGATAACTCTCGTAATCTCCCTGGACAGGGAAATAGTTCAAACCAAATAATTTAAAATAGGAATCTTGTTTTAACAGAAATACTGATTTGCTACTAATGTAACACTAAAGAAAAGAGTATTCCATGAATTACTACAATGAGTGTTCTGGAAAACACAAAGACAGTCTATGAAAAACTGAGAGGTTAAAAACATTAGGGAAATCCCCTCCATTGTGTCCAACCACTATCTTCTCCCCTGTGAAGTCAGGATTTGAAATGCTGAAAGCTCTGAAAGTCCTGTAGTTCAAGTGAAAATGCCTCTGAACATACATGCCCATGCATAAACACACACACGCACAATATGACTTTAATAACAATAGCTAACGCTTAGTAAGTGCTTACATTCCAAATGCTTTTACATGTACTAGCAATTTATTTAATCGTCACACTCATTGAATAGAGAAAGTAAATTATCTCCATTTTACCTGTAGGAAACCAAAGCACAGTAAATAGTTATGCAAACTGTAATCCTGTCTGAATCAGATCTGTTTTAGCTTTGGAAAACACTTATGGTCAGCAAAACATTCCTGAAGATGTAAGGAAAACTGGGAGAGATGGGGAGCACAGAGGTGGATGTGGGTGTGATGGAGAGGATATGTAGGCATCAAACGTAGACAGATCAGGGTTCACTCACTCTGAGGTCACTCTCTAACCTTTCCAATGGAAAAGTCCTTAATCTCTCTAAGGGTTTAATAAAAATAACCCATATTTTGAAGGGTAATTGTGATAATGGGTAAAATGACCTGACATTTGTCCAACACTTCCCTCTTTTTCTATCTCTCTGAGTTTTCCCAGGCTCCAGAAAAACAAAGAAACAAAAAAACCACTTGCAATTGTTCCTTGATAAGGTTCTTAGTAGGGACACGTGGGTTGGGCATTTCAGGACCACATCTGAACGATCTGTTTTTGTGCTAGTTGGCATTAGAAGTATAGGCAGTGCCTCGGGGCAATAATGTGGTATATCTTTAAAACCTAGAAATAAGTTTGTGCCAGGGAATTCAAACAAAAAACAAACATAATAAATGAATGTTGAGAAATGAAAAATTTTCCTAAATATATCCCAGGCCAAGACATCATGGTTACCCAAGTGGGAGATCTTAACTCTGCTTAAAGAGAAGAGGGAGCCACTTGGGCAGACACCTGGCCTCACGCAGGTCCAGTCTGGTGTAGGGAAAGGGTCTTCTGTGACGCTGCCCATTGAGGCTATGCAACTATGCTGTGTCCATGCTCACCAAGCAAACTTCTCATTGTAATTTAGCTTCCTAGTGTGTTTTCCTACAGGGAAAGGATGAGTGGCTCAGTGATGGCAAGATCCACTTTATAACTGTGTGTCTCTTCTTAAATGAAAATGGAGCACATTCCAGTTTAAACATCATGGTCTTTGAGTTTGGTTAAAGTGAGTCAAGTGGTCCCTAGAGCCCAGTCATTGCTCAAACAGAATTCCTGAGACCACAAAACCACAAAGACCTAAAGAATTGGCTTTAGGATGTATTGACCCCAGCAAGGCACTGATCCCGTGTAGCAGTTGTGAGGGGTGCAGCCTCCTCCCTTGGGCAACACTCCTCTTTGTCACAGCACACTTTCTTAAGACCCAATTAAGGTGACAGTGGGAGCAAGAATGGGAAAAGATAGGTGTGAAGGATAGAAATGCATGGGTTTGGGCTGGGCGCGGTGGCTCACGTCTGTAATTCCAGCCCTTTGTGAGGCTGAGGCAGGAGGATCATGAGGTCAGGAGATCGAAAACACCCTGGCCATCATGGTGAAACCCTGTCTCTATTAAAAATACAAAAATTAGCTGGGTGTGGTGGCGCGCGCCTGTAGTCCCAGCTACTCAGGAGGCTGAGGCAGGAGAATTGCTTGAACCCAGGAGGCGGAGGTTGCAGTGAGCTGAGATCCTGTCACTGCACTCCAGCCTGGGCAACAGAGTGAAACTCTGTCTCAAAAAAGAAAGAAAGAAAGAAATGCACAGGTTTGTCTACGGCCAGCTGTGTGCTCTCAGATTTCCCCACATACTGGGAGCTGATTGTGTATTTTATCCTGCATTTCAACTTCTCTAAGTAATATCTTTAAGAATTTGGCAGTGCCCATTTTTTCCTGGAAACGAGCATCTCTCAGGGAGCAAAGCCAGGGACTGGAATGTTTACGGCTGACTTCCTGGCTGGGGGGGCTACTGACTTGCTTGTGGCTGTGGACGGCTCCTCAGCCCTCTGGGGCTGCAGCGCCCTCTGTCTACAAAGGAGACAGTGACAGAAGACGGCTCTGCAGGGGCAAGTACAGAATCCACCTCCACCTGAGAACTGACCCATCCAGAGCTGGGGGAGGTGCTTTGTTTCTGGTCCCAGTGTTTTTGTCTTCCTGCTGTTCCAGCCTTTCTGACTTCGAAGGGGAAATCAGAGTGTGGGCTGTCCTCACCACTTTCCGCAGCTCCCAGATGAAGAAAGCTTTATTTGCACACGCACTTTGGACAGTTGTAAGCAGAAAATGACCATTAAAATAAGCAGGCACAGTTTCAACACTGGGTCAGCATTAAGCAACACTCACAGTGAGAAGACAAAACAAACAAACGGGCTCACCTCATTTTTCTTGCCAAGTGGGGAAGAGTCATTTTCTCCCCAATCCAAGCAGCATTTTCCTGTTCCTTTCTGTTGACAGCAATTTGCCTCCTAAGAAGATGAAATGCCTTAGATTAAAAACTTTGAGTAGGTAAGTGAAAATGTGCCCCAAAATGTTGGCAATTTAAATGAGACTTCAGACTTTTTTTTTTTTTGAGATGGAATCTTGCTCTGTCGCCCAGGCTGGAGTGCAGTGGCGAGATCTCAGTTCACTGCAACCTTTCCCTCTCCAGTTCAGGTGATTCTCCTGCCTCAGCCTCCCAAGTAGCTGGGACTACCAGCATGCACCTCCACGCCTGGCTAATTTTTTTTGTATTTTATTAGTGACAGGGTTTTATTGTGTTGCCCAGGCTGGTCTTGAACTCCTGAGCTCAGGCAATCTGCCCACCTTGGCCTCTCAAAGTGCTGGGATTACAGGTGTGAGCCACCACGCCCAGCCTGAGACTTCAGACTTTTTAAGCCACTGTTGGTGGTTTCTATTGGAACAGAGATAACCACAAGATCTTTCTTCTTTTGCTTATTTTTAAGAACAATACACGTAGAGTATATAAGATACATAATTTGGTAGATAATATATATAAATATATAATGTAAAATGATAATATAGAATATAGAAGTGTAAAGGAAATAAACTATCATTTCTCTGTTCCACTGATGATGTTTTCACATTTGGGATTGTATTATAGTACATAGTATATGAACATTTTTGTTCATTACATGTACAGCTTTGTGTACATATATGAATTTTTAGGTTAATTTCTAGTGGAAAATTAATTACTAGATGCTTTACAGGGCAATAATAATTTATAGAAAGAAAAAAGAAAACCATTTTAGAAACCAGATCTCGCAGACATTTGGGATGTGCATGGAGCTGTCTGGGGATGAGCTGACAATGAGTTTCAAGGCAGGTTTCCATTTGCCGGCTCTTTCACTTCCCATTTCCTCCAAACTTACCTCTCATATCTTCTTACACAAGTAAGTTCTAAGTTCCAAGCATAATACTTTCTTCCAGACACTTCTGTTCTGTCTCTACCTAAATGTCTTGAGCCGCTATCTTTCTAATTTTATCCAAGAAGCAAAAACAGCTGGGCCAAGCAAGCAGCACCTCTATTATTCAAAGCTCTGAGAGCTCCCACGATGTACCATGAACCAATAACGGAAAAGCCAGTCATCTCTTGGCCCACTTGATATTAGCCTTGTGTGTTCCCTCTGAGACTGGGTTCCTTCACCCATTAAAGTCCCATGAGACATGCTGGCTACCAGGTAGGGTGGGTGACCACAGTTTTGCCTTTATTCCCCGAGTCTGTGTGTCCGGAAAGGCGGATAATAACATCTGTATCCACAGGGAAAGACACTTCAACTTTTTTCGTTTGTATTTCACAAGTGCTTTTTCACTCTATACCAGCCATTTGCTGGGCTTACAAGCTATTTCATTTACTTATTTCATTTAAGCATGTCACCTTTGGCTCCCTCATGTGGCAGCAGACGTCTGGGAGATGCATGCACAGCTGACCTGCCTGGTTCTAGGTCCTGGGACACACCTCCTGGTCTACTTCTAGGTCCACCTCTACTATTTGTGGAGCCGCAGCAAGGAACACCAACAAAGGCCCCCAGCCTGGTGCCTGCTGCCCTTCTCTTGTACCCTGACTCTGTTCTGTGCTGTGAGGGGCCTGAGCACTGCAGCCTGAACAGCCAAGCTCAGTCTACTTTCTCCACAAACAGCTGCTCCTTGGCCACCCTCTGACCTAGGGGTACAGACACTGCTGTTATGAGCTGCCCTAGACAGACTCTTATAAGAGGCTTATGTCTAGTCTAACAGTGGGATCAAGAACATCCATGGGAATGATCTAGAAAAGGGGTGAGGTCCCAGGTGGACAAAGTCACCTTGGTGCTATGAACTCCTGAAAATTGTTGGAGAAAGACCAGAGAGGGGGTCCTCTAAAGTACGGGGTCTTCCTTGCTTGGGCCTAAGGGCTGTACTGCCCACATTCATCCTGCCCTCAGCAGAGAACCACCAGCTGTGCCTGTCCTGTCAAACACTATTCACATGTCAATGACATCCTCAATGACAGTAGTAACTATTTGTGGAACGCTCACTAAGTGCCAAGCAAGACTTAGGTGATTTTCTCAAGAGCCCAGTGAAGTGTCCCCATTTTGTAAAGGAAACTCCCTGTGCTCTTGTACTTGGAATGAATTTTGGGTTCCACTCTACATATTTAGCTTCATTTCTGCTCACACCTTCTCAGCTGGTTTGATTCTGGAACTGACCTTGCCTCACCAAAGCAAACTCCACCCACTTGCATCCTTTGTCCCCTTGGGTTTGCCAATGTCCTCTGACTTGCCTGTCCAGATGCCCTCCTGAACTAGTTACAGAAAATGTCTGGACAGCTGGTTAGATGACCTGACTTCCCTCTGTGGTTCTGACTGGACAACCTCAAAGGTGGCACAATGTTCCCCCAATCTTCAACAAAAAACTAAAACTCCAGTGAGTCCAATAGACCCAGCTAACACACTGGGTCTCCCTAATGGTCTGTTGAGATGGCCTAAAGATTTTTAATTCCTCTGTTCCTGGCCTTGATCAGCTGTCATTGTCATTCTTGCTGCATAGGGTGTCCCCCCAGTCACCTACTCACCATGCAGAAGGTCCTTCCACTCTCAAATATTGGCCGATAACCAGTGCAGCGGCATAGGTTACCTAATCAATCAGAGAAGTGTAGTTGTTAGTAGACTTTGCATTTACTGGCTCCTTTTGTCTTTTGAAAGTTAAATCAATCTAGCTTTTTTTTTTTTTTTTCCAAAGGGTCTCATGACATTGTCTAGGCTGTATTTAAACTCCTGGTCTCCTCCTACCTCAGCCTCCTGAGTAGCTTGGAGGTGTGCAGTACTGAGCCTGGTTCCCAACATTTTTAGAAGGGTGTTTTAACATCTGCCAAGTAGTTTAATGCTTTATTCCTCTCCTTGGAGTATTATCCTGCCCTCTACCTCAATTCCAGTTTTATGCTCTGTCTTAAAGATGATAGCCTAGTTGGCAAGCTCATCATCTTCACCAGATGGGAATTTGGGAATTAGTTCTTCATCTATTAATTTATTAATTTAATGTAGATCTATTGACAGCTATATTTCAGATACTAGGTAAGATAGCGGGGATCCTCGAACAGAAAACCTAGGCAGTTTCTAAGGCCCTGGATGACATACCATCATGCCTTGAATGGTTTGTCAGTGATGCGCCTTGGTTGCTTTTAGATAATTACATCAAACTCTCCTGGGGGTATTTTAAAAAAAATACAGATTCCTAACCCTGCTCCTATTCTCCTGAAATGTCATCTGGGGGGTAGACCCAGATATCTGCATTCCAGAGGTCTGCTGGAAATTCTACTGCATGGACTTCCCATTTTACTGCTGTTCCAGGAATTAGCATTTGAGAACCTCAGGTTTCCAAAGAGGAAGGCCTAGGGGCTGGGAGTGAAAGAGTCAGTGTGGAATAGAGTTCATCTGGGAAGGCTTCACAGGGAACCTGGGCTTAAGGAAAAATGAGCAAGCTATGGATTTGTAGAGAGCCAGGGAGAGGCATTCTGGGTTCTCAGGGCAGCAGGCACAGGTGCAGAGGAGATGGGGTTGTAGGGAGACTGGCTGGCAGGGAGCCATGGAGAATAGGAGGAAGCATCACTTAGGGAGGTCAAGTGGTTGGACTTCTCTGAATGCCTGGTGAAGGAGGTTGGGCTTGGCCATGCTTTAGGCATAAGGAGCTGCTGAAGGACCTCCTCAAATAGCAGGAAGGTAGGGAAGTCCGCCAGCTGCTGGCAGGTTAGGGGAGTGTGCCTGTGCTCCTGATCAGCCCTCAACCTCAGAATTTGTGTATTTAACAGATAACTTGTTTAGGGATTATTAACACCTGAAATGGGTGTTTATCAATTCTTCAAAAGGGATATGATTATGAACTCCTCTTCAGTAACTTAAACCCATTGCAAAATTTAAAGGATTCTTTTTTTTTTTTTATTTTGAGATGGAGTCTTGCTCTGTTGCCCAGGCTTGAGTGTGGAGTGCAGTGGCATGATCTTGGTTTATTGCAACCTCTACCTCCCAGGTTCAAGTGATACTCCTGCCTCAGCCCCTCAAGTAGCTGGGATTACAGGTGCGCGCTGCCAAGTCCAGCTAATTTTTGTATTTTTAGTAGAGACAGGGTTTTGCCATATTGGCCAGGCTGGACTTGAACTCCTGACCTCAAGTGATCCGCCTGCCTCAGCCACCCAAAGTGCTGGGGTTACAGGTGGGAACCACTGGGCCCACCTAAAGGATTCTTTTGGTATGTGAAGGGCCATGTTAGGGGTTATGTCCCCCAAAAGACACGTTCAAGTGCTAAACCTTGGAACATGTGAATATGAACTTATTTGGTAATAGGGGCTCTACAGATGGAATCAAGTTAAAATGAAGTGACACTGGGTTAAGACTGGCCCAATTTGATGACAGGCATCCTATAAGAACAGGGAAATTTGGACACAGACACACGGGGGAGAAGATCATATGAAATGGAAATAGGTTGGGACGACACATCTACAAGCCAAGAAATGCCAAGGAAGGAAATGCCTTGTCAACCAGCAGCAGCTAGGAAGGGGCCAGGAAGGATGAGCCCCAAGAGCCTTCAGAGAGGACACGGCCCTGCAGATGGCTTGCTGTCAGACTTAAAGCTCCAGCACTGGGGGAAAATACATTCCTGCTATTTCAAGCCCACTAGTTTGTCGTACTTAGTTAGGGCAGCCCTGAGAAATGAATACAGGCCCTTAACAAAGGAAGCCAAAGAAGTCACTGGATAGAAAATGGGGTGTAGAGTGGATGGTGTGGAGTGTGTGCACTGTGCTATCTCTGAGCAGGCTGTTCCAAGCACATGCTCTGATAAGCAGGGAGCAGCTTGGCATTCTCTGCTCCTGGGTGCTGCAGCTACTTTAGAACCAACTGAAGCAGAGGCCTGAGTGGGGTTAGGATGACACTGGGGGTGGTGTGATCTATCCGGAAACACACTCCCCACCTGGCCTTGGGTGGGTGGTGGGGTTTCTCTGTTTAGACTTACCCCCCAGGGCTTCCATGAGCTGCTCCTCCGAGGGCTGCGGGTGGTTCCTGAGCAGCGTGTACATGGACATCACCATCCCAGGGGTGCAGAATCCACACTGGGTGCCGTGGCTCTTGGCGATCCGCTCCTGGAAAGACACACGGTTATGGCTGTGCCTTCTCACTGCCACCAACTCCCAGCACACTCCACAGCCTGCAGTTCCCTGGCAATGGTAGGACCCACTCCCTTCCCTTTAATCAGACTCTGCCCGTGTTCCTTTCCCTAGGATGCTCCTGGAGGAAGTGGCCCAGAAGCCATGTCCTATGATAATCACTTTCCAAGGTCAAGTGCTCAAATCCTTCTCATTGGAAATTAGCAGCATGCATCCTCCACTCTCAGAGAGCAAAGAATCCTCTGGAAATCAGTAAGTATAAACGGAGTGTGTGGGAGTTTCGAAAACAGTTTTCTTGAACACCTCCGCATCTTGCACAGCTTAGTTCTATGAGGCTACCTTTTTCTGATTAACTTGGAGACTGTCTACTGTTGATCTCACTTTGCCTTCGTCCTTAAATTTTTCTGTGTTGGCACAAAGGGAGCTCTCCTTTCAAAGTTCTGGGATTTTGGTCCATGTCCTGGGTCCCTGCCATTTAGTCCAATACTGTTGTCCATGGACTAGCAGTATTGACTCCAACTGTGCACTTACAGGAAATGCAGAACCTGGCGCTCCTGCTTCAAATCTCTTGACTCAGAATCTGCATCTTTAACAAGCTCCTGGGCGAGTCTTAGGCACATTAAAGTTTGTGTCTAGATCTGGAAGCCCTGTTCTAGATTGCAGAACGTAATGTAATGCTAGGATTTGGGTTTATCAACCTTGCTGTGAGCATCCTCTCTGCGCTCCTTCTAGACTCTGGTACACTCTGCTGGATCCTTTGTCTTTGGTCATCTCCTTGGAGTTCATTCTCCAAGGAGATCATGTAGTTAAACCCAGAGGCCCTCTGGGCTCCCAATCTAGAAAGACTCAGTGTTAGTCAATCTGGTTCTGTGACTCCCAAGTTCCTAAACAATGTCAGAGGAATCGTTGTGCTCTCTGTCAACATGTCACATTGCTATTAAATCCAACCTCTGTTCCAGCTTCAGGTTAACATTCAGAGAAACAACTGTTCTCATGTTCTGGTGAAGTTTTAGATTTCTCTTACCCTCAATTCTGATTTTATTCCTACGGCCTCTACAATGCAGGGAATAATCCTAAATTTTATTCTATTAGCCTCACAGACATTTTATTCTATGTGTAATATTCTTTGCATGATATCTACTCCAGAACACTAATCAATACTTCAATAATTCTGCTTCTCATTCAAGCAGAAAAAATGAAAAAAATAAAAAGGTGATTAATCAAATGTGGATGGAGTTCCAGTTTTCATTTAGATCACTTAACAAATGTTATTACTCTGGTTGATAGGCATCCAAAGCTTCTACTTACCTGATCACAACCTAGAAGCCTCAGGCAGTATAGACAACACAGCATTTGGCAAAAAGACAAAGCTAAGAAGTGAGAAAATTAGGATGTACTCTTACCTGTACAGGGTGAAGCCTAGTTTTGATGCTTCCAACACCTTCCACAGTGGTGACAGCAGCTCCATACAGAGAGCAGATGGGCATCAGGCATGCGGTGACAGAGAAGTGTCTTTGTATAAGAAACACAGGAAAATCAAGGGGAGTAACACAGTCCTGCCTCATGGGCAAGCCTGACACCAGGAAGAACAGTGGAAGACCTCCAGAACCCATCATTGAGCTGAGGGCATGGGGAACTGGAGAGGAGGAATTTACAGTTCTCTCTGCTCACTCTGTGCTATCTGTAGGAATAGGGATCCTTAAGGTGAATCTGGACATTCTGAACCTCAGAAACACTTTACAAACATAGACCCACGGGGGAGTAACAGGAATAAACTTGTGTCACTAGAAGTGTGGTTGGACTTCAATAGTATTCATTGGAACATTGACTTCATAACAAGCAAAATGCATACCTATGTCTTTTATCCATATGTACACATTTGGGAATTTTTTGCTTCCTAATTTAAAACTCCCTGGGTAAGGTCATTCAACAGTGCAGGACGACCTGTGTTCTGAAGCCATCTCTTAATTTGTTGGGCCAATGGACTTGGGGGAACCCCAACTTCTAGAATCTGGTCCTTAATAAAAGGGTGACATCTTAGCCCAACTCCTTGCTTTGTAGGGCAGGTCTAGCCCAATTGTAGAAAGATTATTAGCAGCTGGTGGTGGTGGCTCAAAGCCTGTAATCCCAATACTTCGGGAAGACGAAGCAGTTGGATTGCTTGAGGTCAGGAGTTCGAGACCAGCCTGGGCAACATGGTGAAACCCTAGCTCTGCCAAAAATACAAAAAATTAGCTGGGTATGGTAGCAGGCACTTGTGGTACTAGCTACTGGGAGGCTGAGGTGGGAGGATCGCTTGAGCCTGGGAGGCAGAGGTTGCAGTGAGCCGAGATAGCAACACTGCACTCCAGCCTGGATGACAGAGTGAGACTCTGTCTCAAAGAAAGGGAAAGGAAAAGCATTAGCTTCAGAGCCAGAAAATGTAGGGCTCCTATCCTTGTTCTATAGCTTACTAGTTGTATGACTTTGAACAAGTCACTTAACCTCTGTGAGCCTGTTTCTTCATCTGTAAAATCAATGGCTCACCTACACTGGGGTTTCTTAAACTGGGGTGCATAGATGGGTCTTGAAGGACCTTCAAGAAATGGTGTACAATGTACTTAGTTTATGTGCTACTTGAGTAGATGACTCACAGCTTTCATTGGATTTTTCAGAGCCATCTAAGATCTGGACACAGCAAGAATCTAAGGACCTTTCTTCAAGTTGTGAGCTAAGAACATGAGCAAGAAACAAAGTCCTGCCCTGGCTTCTGGGCTGGGATACCTTATCTTCTTGGACACAGAGTCATGCTTGGACACCATCACGGTGCAGGCGCCGCAGCCTCCTCTTCCGCAGGCGTACTTGGTTCCTGTGAGACGTACTGGAAGGGACACAGTCAAGGAAAAGGTGCCAAGGCAAACATTTGCTTTCGGTATAGCTGGCGCCCTAGGGGGTCACTTCTGAGGAAAGTCTTTTTGAAGGGTGAGTGTAGGTATGAGAAGCCATTCACCTGCCTTCCAGTCTTAGTGTGACACTGGGCATATTAACCTCTCCCTGCCTGTCTTCTCACAAAGAGGGAGAAGCAATACCTATTTTATCTTCACAGGCTTATAGTAAGCATCTTGTAGGATAATGGGTGTAAAGCCCTTTGAAAAATCCTATTTTAGGCGGGGCATGGTGGCTCACACCTATAATCCCAGCACTTTGGGAGGCCGAGGCAGGCGGATCACCTGAGGTCAGGAGTTTGAGACCAGCCTGACGAACATGCAGAAACCCCATCTCTACTAAAAATACGAAAAATTATCCAGGTGTGGTGGTGCATGCCTGTAATCCCAGCTACTCAGGAGGCTGAGGCAGGAGAATCGCTTGAACCTGGGAAGCAGAGGTTGTAGTGAGCTGAGATCAAGCCATTGGATTCTAGGCTGGGCAACAAGAGCAAAACTCCATCTCAGAACAAAACAAAACAAAACAAAAACAAAAACAAAAAAAAAAAGAAAAAAGAAAAATCCTATTTTATTATAGGATATTCTTAAATGTCTTCTTCTGGGTTTCAATCATGTAATTGTAAGAGAGGAAGGTTATTTTTAGCAACTCAATTTGTGTTGCATTTGAAAGCAAATTGGTAATTTTTGGAGGAATCTCCTATCCTTGTTTACGGAGCCCACCAAGTGTCCCTGTGCTGTGGCTTGGCCTGGGTCCAATCCCAAACCAGTCCCTTCTCTTTATTTATCCTTCTCCCCGACTGTGGTTTATTTCCAAGCGATTTATAGAATTGGAGGTAATTAACTAAACTGGCTAAAAAGATTTCAGAATATACAACTCTGTACTGCTAGTGCCTGTTTTTTTTTTTTTTTTTTTTTTTTTTTAACTCTAAGCTTATTCATCAAAATTAAGTCAAAACATAAAATGCTTATCAGAGTGGTAATGTAAATGAAGAGGGGGCTGCACGTGACTGGAGAGCTTGGGCCCTTTAGGAAAGGGCTGGAACAGTCCCTGCTCAGTCCTCAGCAAGACTGTTGCCACGCAGGGATGTCTGTCTCCCCATTTTTCAAGAGAAGCTGAAAAATCTTGATTTTTAAATAATATGAAATTTTCTAATTTTTAAACATCAACAACTAATTAAAAACCATGGGCTTTTAAACAAAACTTGTCCAGAAGCTGATTTCATCAATTAGTAATTTCTGTCATTTATTTATTTTTGGTTCTCAGAGAACTGAGAGATCCATCAGATTTACCAATTAAAATATGTTTGCTATTATGAGGATCTATATTCCAGAATATGAAATGGCAGGGAAAACCGAGGGTAAGAAAACAGATGTAGGGAAAGGACATCTTTCCCTGTGACACAGGTTCTCACTGAATCTGAAGGATTTGGTTTCGAAAAAGGGCAGGACACAGGCAACACAAGCCTCTATTACATAACAACCCTGGTGGGGCTCTGGAAAGCCCATGAGGGAATTATTAGTGCTGAAGCAAAGAGCTTAGCTTCCATTTCACTGCTATTATCAGATACAGGAAACTCTGGGGAAACTTCATCCTCTGCAAAACAGTCTGATTAACCTAATATCCTTAAAACCATGGCCAAAAGCAAATAGAGAGGCAGAGCCAAAGGGGCTATTTGAATGGAGAGATCTGATTCAGTCTCATAATTCTCAGCTGCCCTAAGTGTTAAGACAAACATAGACACAGCCAGGACTTTGACAAAAGGGTCCAGTTCTTCCGTAGGAAGGTCAGCAGGGTCCCTTCTGGGTCCACATTCCTCTCTATCACCTACGTTGGGAATAGAAGAGAGATGATTATGGGGCTTGAATCTGTGACCCCATGGAACATCTGTGGAAGTCTGTTTGATTTAGGGATTGGGGTATAATAGGGCTGATTTCATCTGCACCTGTTTTTTTGGTGCTCTGAAGACAAACGTCGTTCACACATGTTAACAGGACAGAAGACTCACAGGGCAAGTGAGGCAGCAATGCCGTGATATATGAGTAGAGCTGGGAACCACTGCTGTGTAAAGATGCCTCTGGGGGGTATTATTCATATTTGCTCCACTACCTATTTTTGTGGAATCTTCCAATTCAGCCTTGAAATATTTCAGATCTGGGAGGGACTTGGATTGTGTGCATGTCTGTGCGTGTATGCATGTGTGTGTGCCTGTGTACATGATGTGCATGTGCGTGTGTGTGCATGTGTGCAATGAAGGATCCTGCAGGGAGGCAAGCCGGGTAGGCAGAGATTCTGGCCCCTCTGAGATCCCTCTGGTTGGGAATGTATTTGCCACAGTAGGAGTCCAAAGAGTGGCAGGAAGGAGAGGTGGAGAGTTGCTGCTGTCCTGAGGAGGCCCTGAAGCCTGCCACTCCCCTAAATAGCAGTGGGCTCAGGACTCAGGTGGCCCTGATGGACACTAGCATTCCCCCCTTGAAAAGTGGAGGTTTGGCCAGGTGCAGTGACTCATGCCTGTAATCCCAGCACTTTGGGAGGCTGAGGCAGATGGATCACTTGAGGCCAGGAGTTCAAGACCAGCCTAACCAACATGGCAAAACCTTGTCTTATTAAAAATACAAAAATACAAAAAGAAAGAAAGAAAATGAAAAGCCAGGCATGGTGGTACATGTCTGTAATCCCACCTACTCAGGAGACTGAGGCATGAGAATCACTTGAAACCAGGAGGCGGAAGTTGCAGTGAGCTGAGATTGCGCCACTGCACTCCAGCCTGGGAGACAGAGCAAGACTCTGTCTCAAGAAAAAAAAAAGAAAAAAGAAAAAAAGAAAAGTGGAGGCTTTAGTTCTCAAAAGCCATGAGGAACCTTCTTTGGTGCCTCTTTCCCCATTTCCTTATTTTGGGATAGTTCCTTGGACTTTGTCCTCCAGCCATTCTGTTGTGTTGGAGGAAAGGAAGATACAGGGAATTATCCATGTTAGAGTCTTCCTTTCTCCCCAGAAGGGAGACATAAACTTTTGTAGACCTCAAAGAATAAAGAAAACTAAAGGAAGACGCACCCAAGCTGGGATGTTAACATTCAACTGCGTTCTGGATCTCCAGGGGATCTGAATCAATGGAATGAGGCTGTTCTCTGCCTGCCCCTACCCACTGCCGGTCCTTTAAGCACACAGATTGAGAATGTGCTTGGATGATATTTTTGTTGTGACTGACACCCACCCCTACCACATCCTCCTTGCATTTCTTCTAAGCCTTGACTTATTCCCTGCTCTGACTACAGCTACTTCACTCTGGGCTCTTGATATAGAGGGGATGTGGCATGGAAAGCAGAGGAAGGAGCCTCTCTGGCTTTTGAGTCTCCAAAATGTAGGCCAGTGGGACAGGCAAGTAAGGACTCAGATTCTCGAATGACAGTTTTGGAAGAACATATGGTGGTTGCTGGTATGGAGTCTGCATACAGGAGAGTGGGTCAGAAGGGCAATGAGACCTTTAGGGGTCCTTTCTTGAACTAAGCCCTGGGGTTGGGGGTAGACAGTGACCAAGCCATGGGGCTGAGGACCCTGGGGGAGACGTGACAAGACCCCAGAAAAGCCATATGCCTTGGGAGCTGCAGAATGGTTCATTTGAGAGACAGACAGAGACTCAGGAAGGGAAGGGCCTGCAGAGGGAACTCGGGTTAACTAGGGGCCTGCATGGGTGGATGGTGTGGTCTGGAGGGAGGATGCTGGGACAATTGGCAATGGAGAGTCCCTGCCCTTTTTAGACAGGTTCCAAATGGAGCTTAGCTACCACCCAGGAAAAGCAGGGGACCCTGATCGACTGTGAGGACGTTTTAACCAATGCTGTATGATGGGGACTCAACAGAAAAATTAAGTTGATAAACAAAAAAATTAAAAAGGTCTCATTTCTTGTCCTCCTAATTTTGAGGATCAAGATGTGTCACCAGATAAAGTGTGTCTGTGGGTCAGGGCTGGCACCAAGTACTTTACAAGGGAGTTCCTAATTAAGGAAAGAGGCAGCTTTCTTTTCATCTTTACAATGGCAGAAAACAGAAACACAGCAGCAAGTGGCTGAAGGTACACTCGTAGAGGCGGGTGGCGCTGCTCCCATGAGGCCTCTGTGGCAGGCCTGTGGGGTTTACTCAGTCCACTGGGAGGCCATTGGAGGGCTGTAAGTTGAGAAATGCCAGGTTTAAGCAGAAGAAGGACCTGAGAAGAGTAGTTCATCTTTTACGCTTTTCTTTTCATCTAAACACACCTAGAAGTGGATTCCAAAGGTAAGGCCTCCAAGGCTCAGGGAGGGGAAGTGGCATGCACAATGTTATACAGTAAATGGTGAAACTGGATTCGTCAGACACCAGGGCTTTACTGAGTCCTCCCCACATTTCCAGGAGCTGAGCTCTGGCTGAGTGGGAAACAGGTCACATTAGGATGGCTTTCTAGTCCCTGGCTTCTTACCTCTGACTACAGGAGCTCCCCTCCAGCTCGTGGTTTCCTGCTGCCTCGCAAGCCACGGTACGAATGCCCATCACTTACCTTCCTTCCGTTCACGAAGAAAACCAGCTCGTCTGATCGTGATGTGGAAGGCATTGCACCTGTAAATAGGTTCTGCTTTTCAAGTCCAGGTGGGAATGCTTTTTGCACCAGCCACAGAATTGAGTGGTAAGGATTTAGGTCTAAGCAACTAGACTCTCTCCTTATGTAGATGCAGGTGGCCTGGAGCCTCACAGCACAGGAGGTGGAGACCTTGTTTCACTGCTTAAGTCTAGGGCGCCCATCCAGTCCAGCCTCTTAACCGGAGCCTCACTGTGCCTCCCACCAATCCTGACTCTGAAGCTGACTCAGCACACAGCCTACACCTCTTCTTGCTTGTTCTGAAGCTTGAGGGCGTCAGCATGAAAACCGAACAACAATCTAAGCTTACGCCTACGCTGCACACCGCCTCAGCCCTGGGAACAGACCATGATTGGATTTCACTTTTCTCAAAGACAAGTGGGCTTTCTGAGACCTCCCACTTTCCCTAACTTTTTTTTTCTAAGTTTAGCTGCGGAAATGTCTCCTCATGGGAGATGATGTGGTCAAGTCCGATCTGTGCCACAGTTGAAGTGGAGTTGTGAGGTGCCTCCAACTTCTTCCCGACCCCCAGAATTGTTCCGCTGGAAAAGAGTGATCTAGTTAAGACAACCACTGTACAGATAAATAAACTGAGGCCCAGAGAGGTGGGACTGGTAGGTCGGAGTCACGCAGAAGTAAGTGGCAAAGCAGGTACTAAAACTAAGATATTTGGCTTGTTAACACCTGTAAAGTGTATCGACAGAATCCTTGATTAAAAAAAAAAAAAAACCAGCCAGGTGTGGTGGCTCACACCTGTCATCCCAGCACTTTGGGAGGATTGCTTGATCCCAGGAGTTTGAGACCACCCTGGGCAACATGGCAAAACCCTGTCTCTACTAAAAATACAAAAATTAGCCAGGTGTGGTGCCACATGCCTGTAGTCCCAACTGCTCAGGAGGCTGAGGCAGTAGGATGACTTGAGCTTGGTAGGTTGAGGCTGCAGGGAGCTGTGAACATGGCACTGTACTCCAACCTGGGTGAAAGAGCGAGACCCTGTCTCAAAAAATTAAAAAGAAAAATATCATGTTTGTTCTTTATGAACACCTCCAATTAAATATTTGTAGATGAGATTAAGCAGCTCTTATTCTTTCAGCTGAAGTAATGCCTAGAACTTGGCCTCATGTATGGGTGAAGCAAGTAGCTGCTTACGTGCCTGGCTTCAGGAGAGCTGGCAAGACCTCTCTGTTCCCCGACACTTCCTCGATCAGTTCGTGGAGCCCTGGCACCATCATCTGAGTCAACCCTTTGTCTCCAGATGAGCATTCGCTGTGTGGCAGTGATCTGTCAGGCCGGAATGGTAACCTCTTGCTCTGGCTAATTGAGGAAGGTCCTCTCTTTCTCCTGGTCCTGATGCGGCTTCAGAATCCTTCCTAGAGCTACTCCTCAACGAATGGAGTTGGCAGCTTCCAAATTTCTTGAGAATTCTAATGCCTAGGTTCTCTGACATTCCAGTTTTCATGAACTCATGGAGACAAGTGTTTACACACATGCCTGTGTGTTGGTTTGAGTTTGTATATGGGTGTGTTACACGTGTTAAACAGTTGCCAAATACATCTGCAACGGTGCGGTGACCGAAGCTAGAGATTGTGCTGTGA